GAGAGAGAGAGAGAGAGAGAGAGAGAGAGAGAGAGAGAGAGAGAGAGAGAGAGAGAGAGAGAGTTTTGCTAATATCTTTTGTTGCTTCACCAGCCAAAGCAATTGTGTTGCGGGTTTTTGTTTGTAAAGGATGGTAAAAATCAGCTAGGTTTAATTGTAGCTGATGTTTCCAAAGTTGGCGAGGCAATTACAACAAATCTTCAGCAGAAACAACATGCCCACTTGTCAGCTGTCAGGATTTATATCGGCAAGGAAGAAGGTCCACATATTGTGGTGACACAGTGAAATGATGGGACAATTGTCTAGCACCTGCAGAGGATGTCCCACTGCATTAAAAATAAGGGGGCTTGAGTGTCATAACCCAGAGTTTGGAGCAGCTACTGTGATGCAACTGGTGTTGTAAACTTAGGTGTAAAGATATTGTTTATAGGAAGCAAAGGAACAAAATCACAATGTGGTCCCTCTGCTCAGTGGGAGAGGCAACTAACAGGATTAAAGAATGCTTTTACTACATCCCCGATGACTTGTAGAAAATGTTCCATTTATGAGATATTATATGAGATATAATATACATACATACAACTCTTTTAACAATTTATTGCTAAATTAGCTGTGCTCCAGTAAAAGCTTTCATTAGTTAAACCTTCCCCTCCCCACGCGTGATCCTTGCCTTAAGCCTCGAGAAACTAACTTAACTATTTCAGAGGACAGAACAACAGATTTATAAGCAAATCTGCCTTACAACCACCTAAATTTGTTCTCTGAATAAAATGGGCGGGAAGGGCAACCCCCAACAAAAACAGGAAAGGACCGGGTGTGCAGGGGAAAAGGTTTGTAGCAAAGCAGGAAATGAGCGCAGAGGTACTACTGAATCTCTGTTAATCAACAGAAAACAAATGCTCAGAGATGTTTCAGGTTTTACGCTCTGCCCCAGACTTAATTTTTTTTCTGATTTTAGTAAAATGTGAGAAATAGCAGATATGTTCTATTCTGAGATATATGCAGCTGTGCTAGAGTCCTATATTTTATAACTAACCTTGTACCTTTCTAGTCTCAGCAAGCAAATTATTTCATAGTTAAAACTGTGTTTAAGTCAACATCTCTGTCATTTTCTGTTCGGTTCTGCTTAAAATTGTTTTGATCCTGGAGGAAAAGAGAATGTTCTTCTTTCCTATGTACTGGACTCTTTAAGAATTTAAACATCTGGAGGATGCAGGGGCTTGGTAGAAGAATAAAAAGGATAGGACTTGTCCTATTTTTCAGTGATCACTACCAAACTGTCCCCAACAGATTAAGAGAATGCATTCCATTGTCATGTACATGAAAGATTAGCTAGTTTTTTATCTCTCTTTTGAAGACATCCTACTTAAGCATGCATTGGCTGCCCTAGGCCACTGAGTTCACTCTGCTTACTTCCAAGTTAATGGATACAGGTCCAGATAGTAATTCCTGCTCAATGAAATAATGTCTGAATGACTAAATGCTGCCCTCCCTTTACACATCCCATCACAGTCTTCCCCAAGTTTCCTTTCCATAGTCCCAGCCACCTGGAAGTCTGAAATCTGTACTCCCAACACCTCTGGAAGGCACCCAGTTATGGAAAGTTACTTTAATAGTAGGAATAACAATTTCCAACTTTAGGAATAGTCATAGAAATAACCTTTGTAATTACAATATTATGTGGCATTCTGAGATAGCTGGGTATTCTTAAGGGAGATTGGAAAGACCCCCCAAAAAATGCATCCCCATAACTCTTAAACATTCTAAACATGTTCTTTGCATTAACTGCATCAAAACGTCATGAACTCGTCATCTGCAGAACCTGCAGCTCTGGAAATTTCTATCATGTGACTATGTAAACTATTACCTGTGAATTGCAAGGTAGAGCAGGAAAATTCCCTGCAAACCATAGAAGGAAGATGTGGTATGAATGGGTAGAGGTGTAAGTGGCTACAGATCCTGGTGCTGAAAAGCCTGGATATATGTAGCATATATAGCTGGAATATAAATTTTGTGCAAGACATAAACAGAGCGTCTCTTGTTTTCTCTTGTCTTGTCTACTACCACTGGTTTTCCTTTCATCTCCACCCATGTGCATTTTCCCCCTTTCCTTTGCCAAATCACTATCCCTTCTCTTATCCCATCTCAGGATGCTGTACTATGTTTTTGGTCTCTGCTGGAAGGAGATCCCACAATCAACTTTATAACTGGGGCATCTTATTTTGTAAACAATTAATTAAACAATTAATTATTAATTCACTGTATATATATTTATTTTGAATCCTGGCTTTCATTTATGAAGAACAGGTGCTGGCAGACACAGATATACATCTGCCAATGCACATGTAAGTGTGCTGGAACCATTTACTGGGAGAAGAAATCTCAAGGATTGGTTTTACCTGGAGATGGCAATTGTAGGTTGACAAGAAAAGGAAGATGTGCATTTCTCCCTATTTATTAACCCTTTGGGGATCGGGGTCATCTTCCTTTCAAAGCAAACACAATGCTAACATGAATATCCTTTTTTTATACTTGCCAATACAGCTTTCCTTGGCATGGAATTGAGGTTACGTAAGCCAACCTTATTACTAATCAAGCACTTCCTGTCCCTAATATATATTTCTTCCTAGTAAGGAAGAGAAAGATACATATAATAAAAGCACAGCAATAGCATACTTACTGCTTTCCACAGTGGGGTCATAGCATTCCAGAAATTCCCCATCAATGAACTGGTGAGCAAGAGATGTCTTACCTGAAGAGGAAAGATGGCAAAAAAATATAAATACTGCTGTGGGGATTTATTAGTGATGAAGAATACAATTTAAAGCAACAGAAAACATTCATATTATCCTGATCACAGCAATGAAAACTGCCCTGTTCACGGTAACAGGATAAAACTGCAATGATTAAGATTAACATACCCAAAAGGGAGAATTAAATAAAACATTGTTTACATTCCATACAAGATTTGAGGGTGTGCCACAAACAGGATTTATAAAAAAATCTCTCTACTAGAAGCACGTTCTCTCTGCACCCTACAACTTTTGAATTTCATGACTTTCTGGTCCCATTGTTTAAAATCAGAATTATGAAGGAGTGAGGACAGGAATAAACACAATTCTACCTATTAAATGATACAAACTGTCTGCCTCTGATAAAATGGGCTCCGAGAGGGTTGAACTAATGACTGATCTGGAATTACTGCGAATATCTGAGTGACAGCAGACTTCTAATTACCATTGTTTAAACCAGGGGTGTCAAACTGCCGGCCTACTGGCCGGATGCATCATGCCAAAATTGTGCCCATCCCATTGCCGGCAATGGGAAAAAAGTCTCGACACATCACGTCGCAAGTTTGACACCCGTGGTTTAAACTAATATATTCCTTCTCTCAGGCCTAAGTTATACTACTAGAATACAATACTTTGGACAACTAATAGCAGATCTGCAGCCAAACTTCTGGGTTTTTCTCATTTCTGATACTCTAAATTTAAAGCTTCCCATTGTTTATCTTATTAAACATGTACACCACCCATCTCCCAAAGATTCCGATATCTCCCAATGATAACTGATTAACACCCTCCTCTCTAATTTCTCTTGGGAAGCACTGAACTATCCTGTCATATCATGAATTATATTTGGAATTTCCATTTTAGAATATTTAACATCAAAATAAGTACGAAGGATACGTTGAAGAGTTTTGAGAGATACTTGGCTACATTTTCAATATTGATTGCTCCTTGGTAATAGATAAGTACTGTACTCTACAGTGCTGCATATCAGTATTGTATTTGAATATACACAAGCAGCCTGTGCTGCTCTTTCTTTCTTTCTCTGGAAAATTAGTTTTGGACACACCATAGTTGAATACAGGTAGATCAGGTTTATATAGCATGCTAAATCCAAATCCTAGGTTAATAAATACAACTGCTGAATTCACTATATGGTATTATTAGATTTTTATCAGGCATTTATTCCTTTATAAGTAACCCAAAGCAACAAACATTCCTAATACGCCTTCCTTCTCCTATTGTCCCCACAACAATCCTGTGAGGTGAGGTGGGTTGAATTGAGAGAATATGGCTGGCCCAAATTACCCAGCCAGGCTTTCATGCCTAAATTCAGTCTCCTGGTTTCTCTTACCACAATAACCTAGTTCACACAAGACCACAGCTAGGATCTGATATTAAACCACAAACTACTTAAACTTGCTTTATCCTCAGCTAGCAAATCCACCAAACAAAATAGCTCATGTTCTACCTAAATAAGGGTATAATGGTGAAGATCCAAGGTCTGTTCATGAATTGTCATGAACCAGGATTTAAAAAAAAACAACATTAGCAACAAAGGACACGTGCAATACATAATTCATAAGTCTCCAGGCTATATTTATAGTTAAGGATGAGGAAGAAAGCCAATCCCAATATTACTTCCTCAGTGCCACTCTAGGGTGCAAGAACAAGCCCTTCAGTGCTTTTGGATTTGATTTAGAGGTCTGCAGAAGCCATAGGAGCATGAACTTATTTGTGACTCACTAAACAGCCCTATCTGTTTGGACAGCCACTAAGGGAATGTTTCCAGGAAAGGAGAATGGAGACTTTTCTACTCCCACTCATTCCAATGCCCCTCTTCCCAGTCAGATCAGAAGCACTCCATACTCCTAACAGCTGATCCCAGTTTTGCTATCCATCACTGTAATTTAGCCAACAGTTTCCAGCTGTAGATACCAAGAGTCCATTAGGAGAATACAAGTATATTTTGCAAAGCTTAGTCACACTTAGCCAAGGAACTGTTTAGGAAGATTCACAACAACTGAATTTAGAATGTTATTCTTGGCATCCTATTTCTCTACCATATTAAGCTACTTGGCTCAGATGTACATCTTAGTGTGAAGCATGTACAAAATACAAAGAAATCACAGTATTCAATTTCTGGTTAACATACCAAGCTTAGTATTTATATTATAAGCTTTCTTTTAGGATATCAGTACATCATTTTAGATCTTTACACTCTACAGCAAGCTAGGATGCTGTACTGTTGCATTTTTTTCAGATGCAGTGAAGATTAATGAGGTGCCTAAAATTTGAGAATAAGTATAGTAATGTTAAAAAGAATTGAGATTTTAAATATTTGTTCAGGTATGAACATTATTGAATTATTTGAACCAGATATTGTCTTCCAGACTGATCTTATTTCACAGGACTATTTTAGGGGTGGGGTAGGGGTACGCTGTGTTCCTGTAGGAAAGATGACATAGAAATACAATAGTTGATGTATACTGATTCCATCAATCTCTGCTTATATACATTAGCAAAAACAGTCCTAATGACAGCATTACTCAGAAAGATATGGGCCAATGAACAATTAAATCAGTTTGTAACTCAAATTCTTAGTCCAAATTCTTAGTCCAACAGTTCTGGTATATCTCAATCCCCATTCTGATCTGTTCAAACAAGGCACAGATGGTTGATTAATCAACTAAGTGTAGACATTACAGCTCAATATACACATCACTTTTCAACAGGGTCTATAACATATAGACATCCATTAGGTGCAGGAGGGGCAAAAATCTCCATTTTTTTCAAACACCTTTTCATACAGAAGTACCCAGATGAATCTTTCACATAATTACTTAAAAAGAAGGGGAAAAAAGGCTGTTGCAAATTTAATCCAAGGAAACAAATGATTTCACTATCCAGACACCCATGAATAACCTTTGCCCTCTGCTCATTTCCTCCCACGGCATATGGATTAATAGAAAACACAGCCCGGGTGACTCCTTGCATTTCTCTTCAGGGGAAGAGGAGATCAGATGGGTTGGGAATTGGGTAGGCACAAATAGCTCCCTGAGGACAAACTAGTAAAGGTCAGGAAATAGCTGCCCACTACTTACAAGTTTTGCCTACTCATGTGCTACTAAGGCTAAACCTTGGCCCGAAGAGCAGAAAATCTATCTCCAGAGACTGTTTAAAAATAAGTTGTTCACTAATAAGAGCAGCACTGGATGCAAGCATGTGCATTGTTCAGACAGATTCCTCCCAATTAATCCCATTCCCTCCCACAAAGACTATCTATTCTAAGGGTTGCTCCCAAGAATGCAAAGCAAGGCAAACGGTGGCTTTGTCAGGAACCTTTCACACGCCTCCCCTGTTTTTTCATCAGGCAATTTTCCACCTTTTAACAACTGATCTGCACAACCACCTTGCGAAGGCAGCAGAGAGATAAATTATCTATGTACAAAGTTCAAGCCCAGGAAGCTCAAAGACAGGAAATCCACAAAGCAAGGGAGCATAGCCTATGATACCTAAACCTAGACCACTCTTAAAAGTCCAAGGGCATTATTTCATCTAAGAGCTCTATTGCCTACTTGACCAGACCTTTCCACGAATACTTTCGAGTATAATTCCGGGCAATTTAGAAGAGTCAAGTATCAGGGTTTTACCCGATTTAGGCTGCAAATCTCTGGACCACCTCTGAAAAGCAAAGAGCACGCCCTATTGTTGCGGTCAAAATAATATGGATGCTCTAATATCAATAGTACTCTTGTTACTCCTTGCAACCGGACCTCTTTGCAGCTCAACACTACATTAAGACCGCTCCTAAGTCATTGCATCCGGGTCCGAGGGTTGCCTCCGGCTTAGCATCTTCTGCGACTTCACACGCGCAGCCACTTGGCTCTTTCACGCCCTGCCACCGCCCAGCAACCGGGGCAACTAAGGTGGGAATCTCCCTGGCGTTCTGGCGCTCGCTCGCCCGCCCGCCTCCCCTCCCTCCCTCGCCTGCAAACTCCCGCCGCTCCGCCAGGCAACACCCGCCAGACGCCTCGCGAGTTCGCCCTCCAGACACGGTCCGCTCAGCAACGGCGCAAACCCGCCGCCCCTCCCTCGGTCCCCCCTTCGCTGCTCTCCTCCCAGCCCTCGCTTCGGCACGTGCCCAGCCCGCCCGGCTCCCGGCTCACTTTGTTCCCCGCCGAACTTCCAACTCCCGCCCACGCCCGGCTCTCGAGGCACCGCTCGTAGGAGAGCAGCCGCCCGGCACCTCTTGCCACGTGGTGCCTCCCGCGGACAGCCCCCTCCGCTTTCCTCCGGCCGGGCAGAGCGCTACTCACCGACCGAGCGGTATCCCAGGATCACGACCTTTCGGTAGCGCACGAACGGCATTGCCCAGCAGCGGCTCCAAGGCCAACCGAGCGCGGGGGGGAGAAGGGTAGTAGTAAAGGGGAGGGGGAGAGGAAAGGGTGGGTTACCGCAAGGCGGGCGGGCCGAGCGATAAAGAGCCCGCCCGAGTAGAGCCGGGGACGCCGCAACTACAAACGCCCACGTGACCAAAACACTGGCCTAGAGCCGGCGCTTGTGATTGGCCCGGGGCAGAGAGGCGCGTGCGCCTTGAGGACTTCTCCGTTCCATTCATGAAAAGTACGAGCGGCTAGAATGGAGCGCGTGGGTTCCAAACATACAACTGAGCGTAAGCGCGCGCCCTGGGCGCCCGGCCGCCCTTTATTTTGCTTCTCGGGCGGAGGAAAAAAGCATCGGGAGGTGCTTTCGCTAAGCTTTGGCTCGTCGCGTGGCTTCGATTACGGTAGCGCGCGCACGTGTCCTGCTTGGGCGTGAACATCGCCGAGCCGTTTGTGAAATTTAATTCCCGAATAAAAATGCATAGCGACTTTCTTTCGGCCATGTGCTCGCGATTCTCCCCGATTGTCCTTTTGTGGCTTAGCACGCCGACCCGCTCCCCCAGCTCTTGGAACCTCTCAATAGCAAATCGAATCTATAAAAACCATGTATGCCAAATGAGTTAATTCTAAAATACTAAGGATTTGAATGGGAGACGAAAGCGCTGCCTGAAATCTAGCTCTTCGGTTCACGTGCATAAAAAATCAGATCGTTCTAAAGCAGCAACACCCTTCCCTTGTGTATCAGCGCAGATCAAGAAGTCGGGAAAATGCGGGGACCTGCTTGAGCGAGCTTCCCAGTTGTTTTCAAGAGCGCTCGTGGCTTCTTTTTGCCGACAGTATCCTAAGAATGCAGCCAGCTTTTAAACCTTCAATGCTCGTAGGGGGGAAACTGCCATTCATTAGGTTAGATCATTGGCTATTTATTGCTGCATTAGCTGCGTTTAACGATGCATTAAACCGCGATGTGGTTTCTTTGTTTTTGGCATAGTACGATGATGTGTGAAGCAGGTCATTATGGCTACTTCAACAAGCCATGTTTTAAAATTCTGCTGTAGCAAAAAATAATCGGTTCCAAGACTATAGAAGATTCTACTGTGGACATTTTGAGGCAAAGTTAATTTTCCTCCATTCAGCTGTGGTCCCTCTATAAACCTACCATGTCTGTGTGTTGGCCTCCCCATTTCAACCCCAAATCTTTGAGACTATCTGAAACAAGGGCCTTTTTATCAGCATGATTTGCTTTCAAATAAATATGCCAGAACGGACTAATCATATATACGTGTAGGGAGCAAATATACATACACACCCATATAGTATTAAATGTTTTTGTTCATTAAAGTAGCAAATACTATAAAAGGAGATCAGATATGAATGTGCAACAAAGACATCCTCAAATTTTTACAGACTTTCAGGAGAATTGCTTTGCTTAGTGTAAGAATTTTAGATAGTATTGAAGAGAAGTGCTTTTAAATGCATATATTACTCAGATGCTGCTAATAGTAATTTAAGCTGATTTACATTGTTAGGAGGAATGACTTGACTTACTGAAAACCAATTTAGAATTTTTAATCAAATATGTTGCTAAATATATTGAGTAGTGAAAGGGTTTATAGTCACAAGTTAATACCTGTCTATAAAATCCTCTATCTTCCTCTTTGTTGTTCTGAGCTAGAACATCTTTATTTGACTTAAAAAAGGAACAAAGGTTGGAAGAAAAATCAGATTATATTTTACTTTTCCAAACTTTTGGAATAAGCTTTCAGTAAAATTTGAGATGGTAATTTCTTATTAGGAGTGGTACTACCCTGTTAAGTATTCAAACACTAACAAAATTGTATCCATTAAACATGTAAACTCCAACAGCCCAACTATCAACCCTAGCTACTAATATTCAAACACATCTCAATGTTAATTCCTAATTAGGTTATCGTAATTGAAAGGCATCAAAATATTGTTTTAAAGATGGCATGTCTAATGCTTTTTAAAAAATTGTTTCATTTCTCTAAATCTAGCACTGATGATGTTATCTAGTTTGAATAATGAAATGTCAAAACAAGCAAGCTCAGAGAGCACTAAGGACCCTTCATAGTTTTTTAATGTATAAAAGTTCCTTTTAGTCTATGAAACCTAGTGGTAGGAAACTGAATAGATTTGAAATTAATAGTTTAGGAAGAACAGCCCTTTTAAATGTTTGAAGCAACACTAGTGAAAGATGTCGTTTTTGACCTATATGCTTTTTGGTTGTGTTAAACCATTAAGTACATACATATGTACACATGCTATCCTATCTTTTCTTTTGTCTATCTGAGTCAAATAATTCTGGGGAGTATAACTAGGTATATAACTCCTAGGAATACAACTACATATTAAAAAAAATTAAAAGTACAGTAAAGGACACCATAGTAGATTAAAAATAATTATCCACTCCACTAGGAAAGTGCAAAACACACAAAACCAGGTTCCCCAGAACATCCCATCCTCAAAACCTTAAAAAAGAGCCAGTTTTTAAAGATTTTCTGAAAGGTCAGCAGACTCAGGGCCCATGAAAATCTTGGAGGTGGGGGACTGGGGTGTAGTTTCACAACATGTCTCAAGTAAATGAATCCACTCACTTTAGCCAAATGATAGTCCAGACTCCCGAAGAATCTGAGCAGCTCTCTGTATAAAACAAACAGAAATACAACAAGACGAAAACACAATAAAAGAAATAAACTAGGGAAATAGTAAGATAGCGGTTCTAAAGATTATTTCAACTTAGTGAGTAACCAAGATCTTTATGTACCCCAGGCAGAAATGCAAGTGAAACTACCCTGATGCTATTAAAATGTAATCAAGGTATCTATCTTCTATTGATATGCAAAAGCTTGCATTTTGGACATTTCCCCTATTTAAAGATAGAGGGCCCTCTGATAAGCTGTGAGATAGCTTAATGCTAGGTTTTCCCATTTGGCTAAAAAGAAGAAAAGTCAGGGGTAAGTTATCCTTTTTGTAATACCTGCCTTAAAGCAAATTAAGGCATAATGTTTCCTCCAAGTAATGAAGAAGGAGATAGCATTACCATTGAGTATTGTGGGGTTTTATTCAGTCTGGAGCCCTCTGTATACCTGGAATTTCAATTTGCATAATCTTATCAACCCTGTGAATAGCGTTGGGTTCAAGGAAGATGGCTGCATATCACTTCTGTCCTGTGATATACTGTGCTTAATGATGAAGTAACCACAAAAGTGTAGTCAATGTTTTAAAGTGGCTACCAAACTTAACTCTAGGATACTGTCTTTTCATTCATGCTGAACACAGCTTCTCAAACTTTAACACAAGAGCTTCATTTATTTATATTAGTGCGAAACATTGGTATATTGTTTCCTGTTGAAGGTCTAACATTCAAAATGTTTAAACTCGAAATTATTAAGGTACATAACATTCAAAACAATATAATTCTGTATTCCAGATAGAAAGAACTGTAAAACAGAATAAAAGCAGCAGAAGGAAAGCTAAAAAAAATATCCCAGCATTGTATTAAATTATTATCAAAAGGCTCTGGAGAAGAAACCATCGGAGGGAGGGGAAGAATCCCAAGATCAGGGGAGGGAGGAGGCTGCTAGTAAATGTTCTACATGCAAAGAGCTACTCATTCTGGGTTGACTCAGACATTCATGAAACACTTGCCACTTTAAAAAGTCCCTCATAGATGGCCTTGCCCTGGTTTTGTGTAACAACAACAAAGGCAACAGATGGAAGCGGTAGCAGTTGTGTCATTGGAACCATAATGACAATCACAACAGCAACAGATGTGATATCCGGAAAAGAAACAATATTACGACTTCTGGAGCAATGTCTGCTAGCTGAGTCTTTGAAGAAACAGCTTTCCTATTTATTTTTTTTTGGCCAGGATTATAATTCTGCTGTTCACGATGTTGGGAATATCCTTTGCAAATATTAACATATCATCATTTCTAAACATGTTTTTAACAACAAAAACTAACCCAAGTTTTTTTTCCTCCCAATTGTGGGGTCCTTGGTACTCTCTGAACTTGGTGGTTTTCTTGCAGACATTTCATTACCAAACTAATTTGGGTAATGAAGTGTCTGCAAGAAAGCAACAGAGCTCAGAGAGCACCAATAACCCCACAGTTCAACCTTGAGCTACAAATGTTCTCTTATGTTGATTTCTCCCAATTAAACACAACATATTTGCTCCATTATTTGGCTAGAGCACCAGAGGGCAGCAAAAGATACACAATCAGAAATTGTCCCATTTTACTGGAATTCTCATCTTTAGGAAGACAAGAATCTAACAGCTAGACCTGCAAGGCTCCAAGAGTATTACTCCAATATTTTTGGTGGACATTAAATTGGAGAAGTCTTCTTTAAACTTACATTGAATAGCTGCTAAGCATATTAGAAACCCTAATTGAGTGGAAGAGAACACCTGCTTTACTCTTTCATTTAAGTCAGTGGGGCTTAATATAATTTAGTATCATATTAAACAAGTGTTTTTATGGGTTTTCACCTTTGCACTTTGACCTTCTTAGATCAATATTTTACCGTGCATGTAATCCTGGATCTTTAATTCAATATTTTTACTCATAGTTAACTCAATCCAATTTACGCAGTGCAGGCTGGGTTTGCACAAACCCCTTAAATTATAATGTTGTGGGCACATTAGATATTTAATTGTGTGTCATGAACACAATTATAATGCCCTTCCCCTTTTGCATCTGGCAGAAACATGCTTTGCAACATTTTTTCCCCCTCAACTGTCTCTCTTTCATTTCCTGAAAGTAGACCAGGAAATAGATTTTATATTTTTAACTAGGGTAAATAAGTAAATCTGGAAGTGGCTAGGACAGTGGTTCTCAACCTTTTTAATGCCGCGACCCCAACCGGTCGTAAGTCAAGGACTAAACCGGTCGTAAGTCGAGGACTAAACAGGTCGTAAGTTGAGGACTACCCAACCGGTCGTAAGTCGAGGACTTTCCCTGCCCG